AAAAAAAAAAACAATAATTTTGGTAATTAGTGGAGTAGTTGCCTTGTCTTTGCTAATAGGCGGAGCCTTAATAATTAGAAAAAATACTTCTTCTAAATCTTCTCATAGTCAATCATCCCATTCCAACCAAAAGCCGAACCAACCAAATCCTCCTTCTCAGTCTCCTCCAAAGCCAAATAACAATAATCCTCCTGCTCCGCCAATCATTCCCCCTTCTGGTCCTGATCAACCTAAACCAACCCCTCCGCAACAACCTCCGAAACCTAATCTTCCCAATAACAACAATAATTCCGAAAGCAAAGTTTTGGCTAATTTAATTAAAACCGATTTACGAGATGCTTTAACTAATGATAGCCGATGAAAAGTGAATGGTTTACAACATTATTTTCATGATTATCAAAATTGATGAAGTTGAATTTCTGCCAATACCACCAATGAGGAGATAAAAAAAGAGTTAGAAAAAAATCGAATTAGGAATTATGATAAAAGAGAAGATGAGGATAAGCAAACGAGTAAAATGATCTTCCCTAATGAATTAGAACCCGCCGATTATCAAGAAATATTAAATTTAATTAGTCAAATTCGAACCTTGCAAGCAAAAAAAGACCAACAAAAACGGCGGGAAGTTTACCAAAAATTAAACAGTCAAAAAGGTTTAATTTATTGAGATGGATACGGAAAAAGAGGGAGCGGTGAATATCATTCTTTCAGAGCCAAAGAAAACAGCCAAGAGTATTTTTTAGAAATTGCTGCTAACCACCCGATTTTAAATAATTTTTCTTTTGATAATGAAGGATTTTATTTAACCACTGGCACCGAAAATATTCCGTTGGAAAGGGAGGGAAATCGTTTCTCAAAATGAGTCGAATTGGAAGATAAAATTACCATTACCCCATTTAATCTTTAAAATAATATTAATAAATAATGCGTAAAAAAAAAGTAATTAAACCTCACGAAATCAAGCCTGACCCAAAATTCGCTTCGGTTATCGTTAGTCGCCTGACTAATAAGATAATGAAAGATGGAAAAAAAAGGAAAGCCCGAGCAATTGTTTACAAAGCCGCGGTAATTGTGGAAAAAAAAACTTCTTTGCTCTTTCTATCTGTTTTAGAAGGAGCCTTGGCGAATGTTAGGCCAGCCATTGAAATGAAAAGCCGCCGAATGGGTGCTTCGAAACAACGGGTTCCTAAAGAAATCAATGAGGCTCGGTCAATGAAAATAGCCTTGCGGTGGATAGTCAAGGGAGCCGAAGAAAAAAAATCTACTAATCCGATGTATGAAAATTTGGCGGAGGAAATCAGTAATGCTTATAATAAGTCCGGGGAAGCTTTCAAGAAAAAAGAAAATCTCTACAAAGAAGCCGAATCAGGTCGGGTCTTTTCCTTGAACCGCTAAACACAATCTTGCAAACTTTTTCGGTGCTTTTGCTATAAAATAATAATGTATAAATCATATGAAAAAAAAAGTTCGTCCCAATCCCATTAAGAGATATAATAAACTATTCAAATTTTTGAGTTTTGACCAAAGTTTGCTATCTTCCTTTCTTATCACGATTATTATCTTAATTTATGCCTTTGCCATTTTGGGACTCTTTTTACTCTTGGGAATCCCAGTAAATGTAGAAGCAACAATACCGTAAAATGAAAGAAAAAAATAATCAGTGGTATATCCTGTCGGTACGAGGTGGACGGGAAGAGAAAGTTATTGAAAAAATTAAATCAGAATTAGAGAAAAAAGGTTGGAGTAATTGTATTCGTGAGTTTAAAGTGGTTAGTGATAACCACAAAAAAAATATTTTAAAAGGTTATATTCTTTGTCATGGCTACTTGACTTCGGAATTAATCCGTTTTTTTTACCAAATACCAGAAGTAATTGGTTTTCTAAACCACCAGCGGGGTGATGACAAATTGCCCGACCCTGTTTCCGAAAGGGTAGTTAAAGACTTCTTAACCAAGATGAAAGAAAAAAAAGAAATTAAAACCAACCATTATGAGAAAGTTGATTTAAATATTGGCGACTTAGTGAAAATTACTTCCGGAACCTTTATTAATCGAGAGGGGCGAATTGCTCAACTTGACAAAAAAAAACAGAAGGCTAAAATTGTCATTGAGTCCTCCGGGTGAGAAATTAGTGATGTGCCAGTCAATATTTGTCAAAAGGTCATGGGGTAAAATTAAAATATCATGAGTTATAGAAACAATTGTGATAGTTGTGGAAATGAACTTAAAGAAACTTTTTCACATAGTTTTGATTTAGTACCTCACTGTCAAGAAAGAAATTTTTACCAAAATTTTTTAGTCAAAAAAGGAAAAGGAGAAAAATTTAAAACAGAATTTGTATTTTGTGGCAATTGCCAAAAAGAATTCGAGGATTGACTTATCGAACAAGCCGAAAAGGAATTAAAACAAAAAAATATTGCTTATTCAGAAATACTTACTGAAAAATTTTTTGAAAACGCTTTTACTAAACAAAATTGGCAAAAATACCAAACTGCCCTTACCGAAAATATTAAAAGACATAGTGGAGAATGGCAAATAAAAGAAGTAAATATCCAACCATATGAGTTGGAAAAACCCCAAAAAGATAGAAAGTCCCGTTTGCAGAAGAAAGAAATAATCAGGAGAAACATACTTTTTCATCAATCATTCAAGTTAGAATATGACCCAAATGGTTCCTTAGTCTTGGAAAAAAATTGAGACCCTCGAAAGATTTATTTTGAAGATGATTTCTGATCCGAAAAATGAACTGAAATCAAAAAATCCTTAAAAGAAGCAGAACAACACAGAAAGGAAAAATCAAAGCCAAGCACATTATCATTTACAATGATAATCTTAACAATTGGAATTATTGGGATAACAGTTTTATTATTCTTAATCATTAAGAAAAAGAAAGCAAAAAAATAATATTATGAATTGTGATGCTTGTGGCTCAAAGAGCGGAAATTCTTGAATGAGTTATCATGGGATTTTTCCCAAAGATAAAGAGTCGCTCCTCAAATTTATTGCCAAAAAAAGCGGAGAACAAAAAAGCGGTGATGATTTTGAGTTGTGCGGAAATTGTAATGAGGAGTGAAAAAAAGCCTTTTCCCAGGAACTAAAAGAGGAGATAATCAAAAAATTAACTACCAATAATTTTATTGATTGTTGGGAAGATTTTGGCGAATACTTAAACAACGCATATCTACTGGGAAATGACCGAGAAGAAGTTAGAAAAGCCCTAGTAGAAAACATTAAGCGTCACAAAAGTGAATGACAAATTATTAAGGAAATGGATTGAAATAGAGATGGTGGATACTATTGGGATGATGAGGACAGGCGGGAAAGAGTAAACAAAAAAATAATACTCCTTCACCAAACGGCTCAAATAGAATACAGTAGTAATGGATTTTTGCTAATTAAACTTCCTAAAATGTTTAAAAAGAATTATTTTACTCCCGAGCAATGAACTGA